CATGCTCTCCCAGCCTTTGCTAGCAAGTGGGTGTTGTTTTGGTGGCGAAACTCTGATCTCCTCGTAGTAGTTCTTCGGGCTCTGAGGACACGGCCCTGTTGGCTTTTGGTGCAGGGAGGAGGCCGGTGTGTTGCGTCGGTGGGCAGGGCGCTGGCGGCGCGGGAGGGGGTCTGACAAGCTGCCACCACTTTCCTTCCCTTGGGGAAGGCTGAGAGTAAGTAGAACAGCCGGTGCTCGTTGCCCTGTCCAGCTGCTCATCAGAGTCTTGCGCTGGGACTAACGATGCAAAAGGTATAGCATGGATATTGCTTAAAAGAGCTGAGGTTTGGGGCTTTTTTGTTCCCCCCCCCTCCTTAGAATTTCTTGCTAGGCAAGAGAACCATGAAACTGATGAGGTCGATAAATTCTTTATTTTTGGGGACTACCTGAAAAACTTGTTTGTCTGGATATGAATACCCTTCTTTTACATATTGCAAACCTAGTAGTTGATAGGGTGAAAGCCAGGATATTTTAGAAATAGCAAGCAGTGGGATCTCTGAAGGCCAGAAGACTTTTGCATATAAATACAAAGATCACATAGATGAAAGTCTACTGCTGTTCTCAAAAATGTTGTCTTTCATTATATGGTGGCAGTTTGTCTATAGAATTTATTTGCCATAACTTAACAATATTTTTGGGGACAAAGGAGCCTTGCTGCCTCTAGATGACTTTCCTTTTGGAGTTATGTGCAACCTCGGGCAAGAAGCTGCTGGTACTTCTGACATCTGGGTGGGGAAGCAGGAGCAGGTTCATCCCAAAAGCAGACACTTGCAAAAGCAAGGAAGAGTTTACAATTCCCTTACAGCTTCTTTCAAGGAAAAGTCATAAGGAAAAAATGGGAAAAGCATAATAAAATGTTGAGCTGGCAAAAAGGAAAAAAAAAAAGTGAGATAATGGAAACACACCCTGGCATGTGTTCATGAGAACCTGGAGGGAAAATTCCCTTCCTCTTTCCCACCCTTTTTTTTTTTGGAATGCTTGCCATCTCCAACTTTGGATCTTCTCAGAGGGAATAACAAATCATAAATGTTTAGCTTACAAGCATGGTCCTGTTGCGGAGAAGAGAGTTCACTTTGTCTTATGAAGTAGCTGTGGGAATGTTACGGAGAATGCTGTGCCACTGTCCCTGTTGCAGTTGTGTGTGACAGCGTATAGGACAGTCTCTGAAATGTGGAGATATGTTATGATCAAGTAAGTTACTGAAAAATATCTTGATGCGAGCTTCCTTGTTTTCAAGAGCTTGTTTGTGAGTATGCTTCTTGGGCAATATTAACTGCTCTTATGGACTTTTTCTTTCAGGAATTGTTGGTTTGTTTTTCTTTTTTCCTACACAGTAATTCAACGTAATGAAATGGAAATTTAAGGCAGTGCTTATATCTGAAGTTGACCCCTCTTGGATGCCCTGTTCATAAACATATCAATAGCTGGCAGCACTCCGTTAACTTGCTTTGACTCATAACACATTGTTATCCACATCAAGTACATCATTTTCTTTAAATCGCATTTAAACACAGGGTTAATTCTTTGTGTGGATGTTGCCCAGCAGTAACATACTGCACATTTAAATACGAATCTGTGGTTTTGCTGCTATCTTGGCTGGTAGGTTTTATAGACTTGCTGCTGCGGTAGCCATTCCTGTTTATCTGCCAGTATATGAATTGATAGAAACTATTAATATTTTTTTTTTTTTTTCCACGCCACTATGTTGATAGATTATTTGACCTCGATCCTCAGAAAGTCCTGCAAGGTGTCATGTAAGTCATCTGAAACACTTGGGCTGTTGGTTGTGCATAGGCTAGGTTTACTTGAATTCCACTAGAGTTGTATGTCAAAGGCAAGAAGCTCTTCCTACCTTTTTCTTTTTTTGAGAAGTCTTGTTGGAGAATTTTAATGCAAACATGATAGAATTGTTTTAGCAGCCTATCACTCTGTAGTGCATATGGTTCAAATGCAGCCTCCCAGTTGCCAGAAATGAGTTAAACATTCTGTGAGCATTAAAAAAGTTTTTTGATACATTTCTTCCTTTTGACCGCCTTTTGCTCCTCTTCCTGGTCTGCTGAGACTCTTTTCTCTTATTCTGCTGCCAAGTCGATGTACCTGCCTCCTACTTTTTCCCCTGTTGCCATGCCTGCGTGTTGGCTTTTTTTTTTTTAATGCATGGCTTCCATCTCACTGATGGGAACTGCAAGCTGAAAGCAAATGCTTCCATAGAAATTAATTTAGATGCAAATTATAGTTCAGTACTTTTGTTGCATGCCAGTGAGAAGCGGTAATGACTGAAAGAGTGAGTAGAAGACTTGTCCTGCTGAGTAGGTAGTAAAACTGGTGCAAAGATCTGGTGGTTTTCTCGCTGTCCTTGGGCTGTAAGCTTTATGTTATAACTGTGCAGAAACGCAGCAAACAAGTCCTTGCCCAGGAATGACTTTTGGTGGTGAAACCAGACTTTTGCAGGCTTACCAGTAACTTTCTGGCTGTGGTTATTTAGCAAAACACCAGAAGACATGGAAGAACCAAGTGGATCAAAAAGCCAAGGATGTTGGTTGTGTTGCTTAGGACAGTCTGAGGTGTTTTCCAGTAGCAGATGAAAAACTTATTCCAGAAGGTGTCCCAGGGGCAGCATATCAGAATTAGTGTCCGTTTTTGAAATATATGAAAAACACAACATACATAAAACTGTCTCAGAAACTTTATTGGTTGAAATACCCTCTTACTTGTATTAAAAACTTCTGGTACACCACTGTAACTATTTACAGGTTCTTAACTCTTTCTGAGTCTGGTTTTGCTTCTGCCCCTTGGCTGCCTTAGTCCACTACTCATAAGGGCTGGTGTGATGGTCCCTGGGGCAAGGATGTGTCTCATCCTATGTCCAAGTGGGTTGACTGAGCCCCTCTTTTCTCCTTGGCAGATGCTCTGAGCCCTGGGTGGTGCTCTCTCCCTGCTCTCCTTTCTTTTCAAAGGACTGGAATCCACAACCCTTGGTAATCCCTTCCCTATCTTTTGAGGTGTTACTCCTATCTTTTGAAGTATTAAGTGATTTCCCAGAAATACAAGTTTTATGCGCTATCTTGTCCCAGCTAACATCTGAAATTCTTCATCGTGTCAGTGGATTCTATGCTAAGATGCTTTTCTCGCATTTAAAGACAAGAGAATACCACTTTATTTCACAATAGCTTTCAAAGGGTATATCTTTCCTGATGTTAAGTAAATCCTATGTGGTAGATTTGTTATGTTCCAGATATTGGTGATGGGTGTGAAACTGTACAATTTAGAATAGTGTATATATAAAAATAGAATTTAGAATAGTGTACATATAAAAAAATTCTGTCAGTCCACAATTCTCTTTGGACAGAAAAATACTGCTTTTTATAATAACCTTCTTCCTTTGACTTCAGGGTATCTGAAGAGGTATTGGAAGTTGGAATGAACTGGTAATTTGGGGTGGAGTAGAAGAGGATTAAAGTTCTCCCAGAAGTGTTTGTCAGAAGATGTGCAGGTTTTTTTTTCCTGCATCCTGGCTGAAAATACTGATGACCTAGATTTTTATTTTGATTGATGGAACTGTACGAATATCAAGGATCAGAAAATAGGCTGTCTTTAAGAGGCTTTGTATCTGCAGATTGTCTTCAGTTACAGTAGTCCTGTTCTTCATATGCTTCTGAAGACACTTGAATGAATAAGTTGGGTTTGGGGCTTTTTTTTTTTAATTGCATCTTTGTAATTTTAATGAAAGACAACTTCTGAATGAGGTTTGATAAAGGTAAAATATAGCTAAATGCTTCTTGAACTTGAAAATCACGACAATCCAGTTGTCATCTTGTAATTTGAGGAAGCTTTTAATTACATATTCTGAAAGTATTTAAATGATCAGATCTGTTCTTTTCCTTTCTTTCCCATGAATTGTCAGAGAGGTTGTGTTCAAAATCTTCTTTTGTCCAGACAGTGAAGTCTTACCTGGCTAGGAGCTTTTTCCTTTTCCTTCTCATGGGAAAACTGAGAAATAATTTCCCTTTTGTCCAGTACTGCTGTATGTGGTTCTGTTGATCTTATTTCAAAATGTCAAGTTTCCTGCAGAACTTTTGTTCACATCATTTCTGTCATGTTTGTCTGGGTATTGGTAGTAGGTAGGAAGAGGAGAATTGTGTGTAGCTGCCATTAAATCATGAATTTCAGTTCAGGATTTGAAGTGTTGAGATTGTTACAAGGATGACTACTACCTTTTACTGTACCTGATGGCAAACTATTTAAAATGTGCAAGGCCCTTATCTGCACACCCACATCTGTAGGGCAGTGCGTACATTTACCTTTCTGTTTACTGTCTTTATAAATGATCAAGCTTAATATAGTTTCCTTCTGTAAACATAAATAACATTGCGGCCATGCTTATGCTTGAGAGGTCTTATGGGTTTGCTTTGTGTCTACTTAGGTGCTTTTCTAAACCTGTCATCTTCTACATACTGTTCTACAGCTCAGATTTGCCCAAAATATGCTTTGACTGCATCGTGCAAGGTCAGCATTAATGTCAGGTATGCAGCTATTGAATATATTTAGTGTTGACAGTGCATAGACTACCTCAGACAGATATTGTAGAGGATTAAATTCTGTGTTCTCTCAGAAGTTCTCTTAACCGTTTTGCCGTTATCGGCAGAGGAGCGGAACATAGATAGCTGTATATACTTCTGCATTGTTGTAAGAGCTTCATTTGTCCCAAGACGGTTGCTGCAACATCATCTTGTGCTTTGCAGTGTGGCAGTATTTTTTTAATTTATTTTTTTAAAAGCAATTCTGGCTGGTGATCCTTAGACTATCACTTGCTTTTCACCTACTCTTAAGCTCAGGACCACCTTGATCAGATGCAAGACTTGATACCTTTTTTGTTCTCTAATTTATTTGCTGGTAAGGGGCTTCTTTGAGAGGCATTTTGTCATGCTCACATTTAGCCTGATGTCTTCAAAGAGGCAATCTGTCATTTTACAGAGAGCTGTGTAATTCCATCTTAAGGGCTGGTTTTGAAAGGAGCATTCTTTCTGAGAAATCTGGCTTACTCAAGGTCCCAACTGTTTCTCATCAGGCTGTTCCTCAGCAGTCCGAGGGTGTCATCTTTTAAGGCTTGTAAATAATCATCTTTGTGGTGCACTGAGAATTCCTATGCTACTGCTGTTTCTGTCCTTTATGAGTGTGCTTATCCAGTCATCTGGAGTTACTAGACAAGCGTTTCCCAAACTTGCGCGAGCATTTTATTGCTCAGGAAAATGAAAGAAGCATCCTATACAAGTGGCACTAGATACTGAAGAACGAAGTTCAAAATGTATATCTACAGGATCTTCCTTTTTCCCAGGGAGCATGACCAGGACTGTGGGGGGAATACTGGTGCATATCTATGCAGTATGCTTAGAGTTATATCTGCTTTCTACACAGTATGATTTTTTGAGTGTTTGAGAATTAATGTTGTTGGTATGGAAAATATAATAGTTGGCATATGGGTAAGAACTTGCAGACCCCTTTGAATCTGACGGTTGTGTTCTTAGGGTCCCTGCAGGCTTAGGCTGATAGTGCTGCAGTGGTTAGTGGTTATGTTCAGTGTTTTGAAGACTCTGAAAATGACATTTTGGTACAATCAAGATGTAACTGGGCTTACCTTTGCCGTAGATTCTTGGACGCAAAGTTAGGTATGCTTTAAAAGCTCCTTTAAGGGGCAGTGAACTTGTACTTGCATTTGACTGAAGGTGTTTTGTACTGATTGCTGGTTTCTGCCACCTTCAAAGAGGAGATACCAGAAGGAAATCACAAACCAGCGGGGAAAAAAGCTTATATTTTAAGTAGTAACACTGCTTTCATGGAACCTACCTTGTATCTCTTTTGTGGTCAGTTGATTTTAAATTTATTGGGAATGCCCCATACAGTGTGCATTTCTTACATCTGACTTTTTTCATTTATGTATGCTTGGATTTGGAAAAAAAAAAAAAAAAATGTTCCAGGCATGTGTTTAGATGACTGTGTAATAGTGTCTTGTATTTCTCAGCTATGGCAATTGGAATGAGAGCATCAGTGCAGTGTTCCACACATGCCTGCAGGGAAAGCTGTGTGAAATGTAAGAGGCAGCTTCATGGAGTGGGAAGAGAGGAGATTCCCATGTCAGTTCTAATGGAGCAACAGGTATCCCCTTCAGACAGTTATGAAGAGGCTACTTCTGCCTCATGTTCTTCATGTCCTGTTAAACAAACCTCCCTTAAGACTAAAGAATGAACAGCACTTGTTTTCACATTGTGCATCCCGAACATAGGCAATCACATTTTTGATGTCTCAGTGGGCATTTCTGAACTTCAATTTTCTGCAGGAGCTGTGTTTTGTTCTTTGCATGTTTCCTTGCTTCAGTTTTCACTAGAATGGCCCTGTGGAAACAGAACAGTCCTGTTATAATTTGCCTCTGTACATTTTTCATTTAGCTAAGAACAAGTGATGTAACTTTTTTGAAGTGTTATTTTTGTGCAATGTCATTCATGCATTGAGGGAAGTGGCTTCTGCATCTCTTCGGTTGATGCTCTGTGAACTGCAGGATAGGCTCTTTGTGGCTTGGAGATGGAAAACTTGTTCTTTAGGTTGCAGAATCTTGAGAAATTTGAGCAGGTTTAGGTGAGGCTGAGAGGATGCTGAGAGCACTAGACCATTTGTTGATTTCTGTCTTTCATGAGGTAAGCTGGGGTATCTAATAGCTAGACAAGCTTTTCTTTCAGTGATAGGAGTTGAAAGTAAAAGG